AAATAAGGAGAAATTTTCAACAGTGAGAACAATAAACCAATGGAACAGCTTGCCTTCAGATGTTGTGGGAACTTTCATCACTGGAAGCTTTCAAGAAGAGACTAGACTACTATCTGTCAGAAATGGTGTAGGGTCTCATGCTTGGGCGGGGGGTTGGATTAGAAGACCTACAAGGTCTCTTCCAACTCTGTTAATCTGTTAAATTTCCTTGTCTTAAATCTGTTAAGTTTCCTTCTATGCCGTCTGGCATAACACTGCCAAATTCTCAGTTAAGGAGTTTTGTCTGTTCTGTTCTTTAGGTATCACTTATTGCAGCCAATCGGTTGATATGGGGCTGGTGTGAAGAGCAGCCTGCTTTCACCTACAGTTGATTGGCTGCTGGGTCTAATGGATTTCTGGTCCTCTCTGGACATGGATAGTGTAGGACATGGCTGGGGGATCTGCAGCCCTCAGTGTTGGTGATCTTCACTTCCCAGCAATCTCAGCCAGCGAGACTGATGTGAGGGATTCTGGGAATTGTAATTCATAAAATCCGGAGGGCCACCGGTTCTCCACACATACCAATTCTAAAAATTACGCCATGGAGCTTTTCTGCAATGCTCAAGAACCACTCTTTCGTTAATGTGAATGAGTGATTTTTTTCCCCTGAAATCTTTTTACACTAGTTTTTATCAAATTGGATTCCTGACTGAGTTTACAACTGCAGTCAAAAAAAAATATCAAAATTAAAAGAGCATATTAAAAAATTCGAACTAGTACATAATATGGCTTGAGTTTTAAATAAAAAAGTTTTTTGCTTGGTGTCTGAGAGCACAAATTTAAATAGACTTTGTTTGGGGGGAGAAATTCCATGACTGGATGGATGTAGGGAGAAACGTTATCCTTGTCCTTGATATCAATCTTTCCTTTGATTAAACAGTCACTGAGAGGAAGGCTGGAAAGTGACAAACTGCTCAAGACTTTCACAGTAAACACAAGTCCAAGCACTTTGTCATTGAAACCCTTTCAAAATAGGCAGGATGTGAGCATTTATCTGTTAATTGTATCTTATATTCCAACCTGGCGGAGGCTGGACTGCTCTGGGATTAGGCCTGAGCAAATGTCAGAAGGGTGAGGAAACGTCCATATTTAAAGTAAGATTTCTGTCCTGGGAAATCTCTGGTAGATGCCCTGATCGTCCTTGGTGAGGCAAGTATCGTCTAGGGGGGAAAAAGCCTTCTGAGTTGCTACTCCCTGCTGTCTTCTCTTGTTCAAGCTTTTCAAATCGGTAAAACAGCAACAGTAACTATGAAAGTGCAGTTTTTCCAACTAGCCTTCGCCTTTTTCTTTAATTAAAAAGTGGTATTCCTGAGGCAACTGGTGACAAACGCTCAAGTGCTTTTGAACCAGTGGTGGGATTCAAATAATTTAACAACCGGTTCTCTGCCCTAATGACCAGCTGGGTAGGTGGGGCTTGGTAGTCATGTGACTGGGTGGGCGTGGCCAACTCAACATCACTCACATCGATGGGCGCTTCACTTTAGCTGTTACAATGTCATAAGGGTTAACCAGAGAGGCAGTTTCTGTAAGCAGGGCAATAAAGATTAGGCTAGAAACAACACCAGAATGTTTCCTTCCTGCCTTCCTTACAGGATTAGCCCTGTAAAGTGGAAAAAAACAAAATGAGATTTCTTCCAACAACCGGTTCTCCGTACTCTTAGAATGTTACCAACCGGTTCTCCCGTATAGGTGCGAACTGGCTGAATCCCACCACTGTTTTGAACTAATACTGAGGAGGAATTTTAATCTACTTTTTATTGGTGTTTGATTTGTATGTTCTACAGGGAAACGGGTAGGTAGATTAATGTCAGTCTTCCTCAGCCATGTTTAGTACTACAGTCCCCAGGATTCCCAGCCAGCACACAGCCTTTGGCAAAGGCAGTGAATCACCTATAATTTTTCTTTGTAAACCACTTAGAGATGGCTGTAAATTCCTTAGATATAAGTCTAAGTGTTATTGTTAAGTGTTATTATGATTTAAAGGGGACTTGGGAGCTTACCTTAAATTTGAATGCTACATTTGTGTAAACCAGGGGTAGTTATTCCTACCACCCACTTTTGTATTTCTGTTAGTAGTAAAATTTTCTAACCGCCCACCGGTTCCACAGTAATGGTGATTTATAAAGTAGGGAAGTAACTTTACTTAATAAAATTTATAAAGCAGAGTTACAGCAAATCCCTACCGCCCACCATGAAAGCTGGAACGCCCACTAGCGGACGGTAGGGACCAGGTTGACTACCACTGGTGTAAACCATGGTGCTGATTCTCCTATCTCCCAGAACCAGCCTCATATTATCGGTCTTTTGGCTCCAGAAAGAGAGGTGCTACTTGACAAATTGAAATCTGTTTAGCTATGGTGAGTTTCCCCACTATGATCCCTGCACTTCTCCACCTGTTTATGGTGGCAAGGGGTGGAGATAGGAATGGAACATAACCAGGACTGTTTTAATAAAAATCATACCATACTAACTAAACGTCCGTCAGAGTTCCTTAAAGATTCCCTGGAATTTCTTTAGATTATAAATGAAAATATAGCTTGAAATGCCATGATCAGCAGCTCTAACAGTAGTTCTTGCTGTGGAACTGAATGGGGTATTTGCAGCTAATGTGCAGAGCAGCAGATCATAGCCCTTGGAAAGGACAATTATTGAGATGGGTGGCTATAGAAATTGAATGAATGAATGAGCGAGCAGTATGTCAACAGTCTTTCTCCTTCTTTACGCTTCTCCAGTTTTCTTCATTGCTGCCACTTGGGCTCCTTTCACATGTTAGCTGCTTTTTTTCCTGCAGTGATGAAGAGCAGCTTACACAGCAGATTTTAGTCATGCAGTTTGTGCTTTTCCCCTGAAAATGTCCTTTCTCAGCCACTGACGTTTTTCATGTAAGAGGAGTAATATGGGACTCTTCCTCTGCCTTTTAATTATCTTACTCGTATCTCTCCTGCTCCAACTGGGTTGTTTCCTCTGCAGCTAAAAGACCAAGAGGTGGAGGCAACTAAGGAAAAACTGAGAGAGATTGAAAAAGCCAGGGATGAGCACATGGACACAGTCAACCGGCTGAAGCAGGTGTGTATGCCCAGAGCCTGCCAGTTTCCTGCAGGAACCAGTGCTTGGCAGGACGCATTTCCTTCGACCATCTGTTCCCTCTCTTCCTGCCAGGACTTGCCCACCTGCTGAATTATGTCTCCTCCTCCAGTGTGGTTGAAGTACACTGGCAAGGATAGACAGATAGTGCTGGTGTCCCTCTCCAATTCATGTGTTCAAACTAAGGTTTTTGCAGTAGTTCCTGGAGAGATAAGAACTCAGGCTTCCAAACAATGCCGCTCCTGGTTTTGGCGAGAAGGAAACTGATGCCCGCTACCTCTGAGTGTAGAACAGCTCATCATATTCAGGAGAATGATTGAATCATAGAGCGCAAGGATTGGAAGGAATCTTGGAGATCATCTAACCCTCCGCCTACTGCGGGAATTCACTATTGTAGCCGTGTCTATAATCAGGAAAAAATATTCAGGAATTCCCTTATCCCTCTTTAGACAACAGGATTATTGTCAGCTCTTCAAGGTAGGCCAGGTTAGGAAACAGACACCACAAGAAACACTAGAACTCTCTTCATTATTATGGGCTAAAATAACAAAATCTTGAAAGCCCAATCACATTTCTCTTTCCTTCCGTCTTATGCCAAGGAAAATGAAATTGAGGCAATCTTTAGTTTCTTTCTCCACCAATCAAATTTATTACACATTTAAAGCCGAATATAAACAAAACACATAATAATAATAATAATAATAATAATAATGATGATGATGATGATGATGATGATGATNACTCTGGGAGTTGAAGTCCACAAGTCTTAAAGTGGCCAAGGTTGGAGACCACTGCTCTAAGGGAGGAAGAACTCCCTAACTTTATGAGAAGGAGCAAGCAGCAAAAGGTTGCCTAAAATTGAATCTAGGTATAAATTCTAGGTAAGCTGCTGCCTAGGTTATGATTGTTAACATTCACATTTACACTGGGGCCAAGAAATGAAATCACTGGTAAGACTTTGCTAGGAAGAACCATCAAGGGAGCTTTGGCTCTCACCAGTGGTGGGTTGCTTATCCCCTTCCAACCGGTTCGGTTGGAACGGGGCCGGCGGCATCCTCGTGCACGCGCACAGTTCACGCATGCATCTTAGCGTCTGCACAATGCTCCAGCTGCTCGCGGAGAATCGCACAGGCGCTGTATGTGCCATGTCCCTGCGTGGAAGCGCAGAAGCCTTCAAAGACCGGTAAGGAGCGCGGGTGGGCTCTTCAGCATTCCCGGAAGTTACTTACTTCCAGGTTCACTGACCAACCAGTCCACGCGGACCGCCGCGGACTGGTTGAAACCCACCCCTGGCTCTCATGCTAAAAGAGTGAAACTTTGTTATGTCCGTTCCCCCCCCCCCCCATTCCGGGAACAAAGGACATTCTAGGTGTCTTTAATTTCCTCTGCTTTTGGGATTGTCTGCAGTCTTTTCCTTCCTCTTCTTCATTAGGCTCGTAGTCAAGAACTGGAATCCATGCAACAAACTGTGGAAGAGCTACGGCTCCAGATCCAATCCATGGATGGCACCAAGGGCTGGTTCGAACGGCGCCTTAAAGAGGCAGAGGTACTGATTTGGAAGAGAAACGGAGTAGCAATTCCTTTCCAGTTGTAGAAATCCAGTTTTTGTGTGTCTATTGATTCAACTTTACACCTGGGTAGTGGGACATACATTAGAAGTGGCATTCTCTGGATAGGCCTGTCAGATTCCCTTTCTAGCCTTTTATTGAGCCTCTGGTTTTCTTCCTCTTCCCCAGGAGTCGATAGAGAAGCACCAACAGGAACACATGGAGGCCCTGAGAATCTGTAAGGAGCAGCATGCAGCTGATTTACAGGTATTGGGGGCTGCGAATTGCCTATTTCTCCCCAGGCTTGAGAAATGACAGCTATTTATTTCCTTTAAGGCCATACCTAGAGTACTGCATCTAGTTTTGGTCACCACACTATAAAAAAAGTTGTTGAGACTCTAGAAAGAATGTAGAGAAGAGCAACAAAGTTGATTAGGGGACTGGAGGCTAAAACATACGATGAATGGTTGCAGGAACTAAGCATGGCTAGTCTAGTGAAAAGAAGCACCAGGGGAGACATGATAGCAGTCTTCCAATATCTCAGGGGCTGCCCCAAAGAAGAGGGGGTCAAGCTATTTTCCAAAGCACCTGAAGGCCAGACAAGGAATAATGGATGGAAACTGAACAAGGAGACATTCAACCTGGAAATAAGGAGAAATTTTCAACAGTGAGAACAATAAACCAATGGAACAGCTTGCCTT